CAAAATTAGTTTTTTCTGCCTTTCTAAAAAAATCATTTTGTGGAAACAAAATTTTGATCGGAATGAGTTTAGCCAATTTCCAATCTTATCGGATCTTAAAAAGAATAGTTAAATACCCTCTGATGATACACAAGAATATTGCTAACACCTTGAGTCTTTACACATGGGCTTTTCCGACCGTTATAAAGATGTTTTGTCCCTGGAAGTCCCTCAATGGGTAATGAATCTTGTAAATATTGAAACAGCAGAGATTCAGATTTAGGAGGATACGGCCGAACTTTCAAGGGATGAAACGAAAATTTGAAATGGTGATGATCTCACGGAATTTTGTTTGGCTTCAAGGTAACACCACTCGCCTGGGCTATAGATTATCATCAAAAAAGTTTAAATTACCTTCCCTTCCTCCTACCTTGTCGAACAAAGATTCAGTGCTGTGACGGATATAGTCACAAAAAAAGAGGATTCTTGCGACTTTACCTCTCTAAAAATATTGAACCGAATGTTAAGAAACTGGTTCTGAACCATCAAGCATATTCATTCCACTATCATAGTTACTTGATTGTTTCGTTGATAATAATTTCTAGAGTAAAAATGATTTTTGGGTATTTTTTTCATCATCGAATTAAGAATTAATTACTCATTTTAATTATAGGCTTCTTTGTTGTATTCTTTTTCCAATACTGTATTTATTTTTATCATGACAAATATACTGCGATTACCTGACAGGGGAAAAATATTGAGTTAACGTGTACATTAACTTTTTTTAAAAAAAAGACCAAGCAAATTTACTTCTAAAGATATTGCTTAAAAATGTTGCTTCTTATAATTCAGCACCCCTCCACCCCCTTTCTCAAAATAACTAGATTTTCGCAAAAGGGGTAGGGGCGTTGCAATTTTTTTTGCTCCATAGGGGGGCGGTAACGTTAAAATGTTGAGAATCTATGATCTAGCGTGATCCACCGGCGGGTCACCTCGGCATGAACGTGTTAAACCGTAAAAAGCCGATCATTGGATCAAATTTTTTCAAAAATGTTTTTTTTCCTCCCTGTTGGAGAAAATATGATACTTTTAAACTTAAAAGCAATTCATAGATTTTGAAAAACTGTTGACTTGTATCAGCAAAAATTAAAAAATTCTCGCGTGAGTGGGATTAAATAAGTTTGTAATGTATGCGAAAGTATGGTAAGTCTCAATATCTGTGCTTTCATAGTCTTAAAAATAAGAGTTCCAAAATACTAGCCTGTGATAAAATAACAGGCTGTTCCAAAATACTAGGCTGTTCCAAAATACTAGCCTTTGACAAAATATCGCCTGTTCCAAAATACTAGCCTGTGGCAAAACACCACTTGTTCCAAAATACTAGGCTGTGACAGAATAACAGGCTCTTTCGATGTAACATGTTTAAACTAATATGTGGTTGTTTTATTAGTAATAGGTTGCTAAGACATAGAAGTAGAGCCTCGTGGGAGGAGGGCTAGTACGTATCTATCAATAATTTTCAAAAATTTAAAACATTTTAATGTTTTGTTTTTTTTTACCATGGAAAGGCTCTTTTTTAGTAAGAAATTTAAGATACCTTATATGTATTATAACTATATGATTGTATAATAATCATTTTCATAGGACGGAAATTTTAAGAAACCATTTAATGATTTAATTCTAACGCACTAATTTTAACGAAAGGAAATTTATGTACTATTATTAATTTACAATTGGAATGAGTTATTAAATTTAAATTTTTGGAACAATATTTGTTGTCATTGGAATTAAATTTTATGATTTCTATTACCGCACTTGTTTTTAAGACTATGAAAACACAGAAATTGAAACTTATGTACCGTAATTTCACATACGTTACAAAACTTATTTAATCCCACTCACGCGAGAATTTTTTAATTTTTGCTGATAGAAGTCAACAGTTTTTCAAAATCCATGAATTGCTTTTAAGTTTCAAAGTATCATATTTTCACCAACAGGGAGAAAAAAAAAACATTTTTGAAAAAATTTGTTCATATGATCGGCTTTTCACGGTTTAAGTGCTTTCGTTAATAAATGGAATTCTTTGACTAAACCGATTGTTTGTTCGATGAATTTGGATTATAATTGTTTTTTTTGTTTTTCCTTTCAGTTTATTTAGGCTTACCAATTTTACTTTTTGCTTATTCCATGCAATCTCGAGTTTTTTTTAAGCGAATTAAGAAAGTTTTAATTCATAATTATAAAATTTGTCTAGCTAAGGGAAATGCGATGAATTTCCTTTTCATAATTTGTTATTAATTTATAGTAATTTGTTTAATAATGGTTAAAAGAATTTTGAATACCAAGACGCATAAGCTCATCTATCATTTTAAACTATGTGATTTTAAATGACACTGAGCAAAATTTGAATGAAACCGGTTGAAGAGTTCGTTTTAAATTTAATAATACGTCATAAAAAAGCTGGGGGAAAAATTTTTTGGCAAGATAATTGAATGACAATTTTTGCCTAGTATTTTGGAACAGGCCTGTGGAAGTAACCTGTTATTTTTATAACAGGTAGGATTAAATAACAGGTGCCAAGTACCATTTCCTGAAAATATTAGCCATCTCTAGTTGGTGGCCCTTCGGGCCAAATACTGAGATCCAACGAATATCAAGCATCAAGTTAAATCTGTGTCACTCCAATAATGACCTGAACTTTTTTTTGAATTGACTTCAGAACTTTTGCTATATATGACTCACTAGCCTATGTCTTAACAGAATCGACGAATCAGTTTGAGTTCCTACTAATATCAAGCATTGAAATCTACACCTCTAGTACCAGTCGCCCTACAGCATAGCACAGATTAAGAGGTCTGGAGCCCGCTAACGCGGGCTGGTACCTTGCCAACTACAGATCGTCGTCGAACATCGTTGTCTTTATCTGGATATAAAAAAAATACTAGCTCTCTGGAAGTTCTACTTCAGTAAAGTTTTATACCCTGGATATGAATTTAATTTACAGCAATAACTTATGTTAGGATAGGAACCGTACATGGGGGTTTGTGAATAGCACGTTCTATTGACGTATCTCCTAGCGGCAGTCGGCAGCTGCTGGGTTGCTCCCCGGCAAGATCAGTGTCATAACTTTAAAATGTAGCATTGAGGTAAAGGAAGAGAAGACGGGTAAGAGGCGTGGTTTAGGCTCTTTTCACAATTTTTTTTCTTATATTTCTCTGGTGATCTTATTTTAAAAATTATTTTTAGAGCAGAACGAGACTGGCATTTGTTTCGAAAATGTTGCAAATTGTTTCTGACTGTACTAAATGTGGTTTAATAAATCAATAATTTTTTTATTTGTTTACTTTTTTTCTTAATTAATAAAGTTAAAATTATAAAATTTAATAAAGCTAAGGTAATAAAATATATAATTTAAAAGGAAATAATTTGAAAATTAAAAAAAATTAGCATAAATTAGTTTTTCTCCTTAAATAGACACTGTCCAAAATTTGATTAAATTAATAAATGAATGCAGGTATAAATAAAAAGAAAATATTGATATTATGTTAATGTTATTCCATTGTTCATAATTTTAAAATTTAAGAACATTTAAACTCGAGAAACGAGACGTTGAAAAATTTGGGTGCGGTAGTCAGGAGCGAAAAAGACAATGTTTTTTTTATTTTATTTTATGACCGCCGATGAACAGCAGACCCAATTTTTGGGTTTACGACTACTCATGTTCAACGCCGTTGCCTTGTAATTTTGAACCAATCCAGAAGACAAGGAAACTCCTGGATCAGTACCCCCAGAGGTTTTGATTTGTTATGGGAACATGGAGGACTTTGAGACTTGACAGATTCAACGTGCATCAGTCACCATTTACTACACGGGGATTCTTCGACCGGCGGGGACCGAACCCACGAACTCTTGGACATGGGCCCGGCACCCCACTGACCAGGCTATCCCGGCCTAGTAGCGACAATTTAATTTAACATTGATTAACTAGCAGCGTTACATTACAGACTCAAAGGATGGACGTCGACACGAACAGTACAATATAAAATAGCTAGTCACGTCACAGGTATTTTTTTTAAATTATTATTTTTTTCTTTCTTTTTTTTAAATTTTTTTTTATTTATTTATTTTATGACCACCGTTGAACAGTCGACCCAATTTTTGGGTTTACGACTACTAATGTTCAACGCCGTTGCCTTGTAATTTTGAACCAATCCAGAAGACAAGGAAACTCCTGGATCGGTACCCCCAGAGGTATTGATTTGTTATGGGAACATGGAGGACTTTGAGACTCGACAGATTTAACGTGCATCAGTCACCATTTACTACACGGGGAGTCTTCGGCCGGCGAGGATCGAACCCACGACCTCTTGGATATGGGCCCAGCGCCCTACCGACCAGGCTATCCCGGCCCCAAAAAGGCATTGTTCGTAATTATCCGAATTGAGCGTGAAATTCCAAGCAGGTGCGATTCGTGAGGTCGTGCTGATTACGTCCCTGCCCTTTGTGCAAACCGCCGACCGCATTTAAACTCGAAAAATATTAAATAATGCCATAGGAATTCATCTCCTGAAAAGGTCTATGTTAAAATAGGAACATTGTAATTCTTTCGAAAGCGCTAAAGTTCTATTTATTAAAATGGAAAGAGTAAATCTTATCTTTAACATATTTAAAACAATTTTTTGAATGATATTATTGAAGCTAATACGAACTTTTTATTTCATCTTGATTTTTTTTAAATAAAGGGTTATGAAGTTAGGTTAAAATTTTATATGCTTTTTAATAATTCCATAATGGTCTTTTTCTAAATATGATTCCATAAAGATAATTATTACTACACTAAATTTTCTTAATAAAATAATAATTGAATTGAAAACAAATCTGTTAAACAGATCGAAACACGAGTCCAACTCTTGAACTGGAAGCAACGACAACACTTAGAAATTTTGTTAAGTTTAATTTTTTTGTATTTAAGAATTTAAAAACTATTTAAATAATTAAATAAAATGTACTCTTTTTATTTTATATGGTGGACCCAATACGTTGCAGTTCAATACGTATCAGATCCGTGTCTTCTCATCGAATAAATTCGAAGCTGAGAGACGCTGTCCAAAAATTAGTTTAATATCTAGTTACTCTATGAGTAACGTATCAGATATTAAGCTGATAAGAACAGATACTACACTTTGATCTTAGCCAAAAGGCCGAGAAGCGATAACTGCAATCATTTTTGCAAAATTATATCAAAAAAATTCAGAGTCGGTGACATTCCAACCCAAACGGAAAAAAAAATCACTGATTTAAACTGGTGTAACAGCTTTCTTTGGTCAGCAAACGATGCTCAAATCATAGAAATCCTTATATTTTGTCCTATATTAAATTATTTAAAGTTAACATTTACGCTGGCCCTCTATATCCAAAAATTTCAAAAAATCAAATTTTCTGAAAAAAGAAGAAAATTTTTTTTGGGGGTTTTTAAATTAATTCTTGTTTAAAAAGACAAAATTTTTTCACTTGTTTCTAAAAAAAATATTCTTATTTAGTAGCTAATTTAAAAAAAAAATAATTAAATTAATTTTAATTGATCATTGAGTTTATTGAATCAAAATGCTATGTTATGCATTAAAAAGTAACATTTCGCAAAAATTCACAATTTTAAGATCTTAATATGCAGTTAAATAACTGCGTTATGACGATCTCACAAATAAAAGCTTTAATTCTGACAAAACAATTGCATAGGAATGATCATTAATTAAATGTTACATTTGTAACAGAACCAAACAAAATACAGTCTACAGTCACAGTATTTACATTTATTCGATTTCAGGTCTAATAAAATCTTTATCTAAGCAGCACTGTTATTATTTCTTTTAAAATTAGTGCCTTTTAAAAATCAGTAATATGAATTATTGCCTTCCATTGAGCAGCCATTTCTTTTATTTAAATTACATTTTTCGAAATATTAGACTAAAAAGCATATTTAAAAATAATGTAGTTATATATCTTGAGACTGTAATAAAATTAATTATAAATTATTAAATAGAAAATCAAGAAAAATATCTTTTTTAAAACCGTCTTCATGCCGCAAGTAGTGATGTCATTTTTTAAATATCAGCATTACCAGGCCGGACGTAATCTCTCGTGAAAATCATTATCATGTGCGTTCACTATCAATTCAGTTCAACATTCAGAACGGTATTTAGTTCAAACTTCTGAGCAAACCATAAAGGTGAAAGTAGGCGTTACTATTCTTATATAAAGTTAAAAGTGTAGAAACGAAGGGAGGGGCAAATGCATAAAACTCATGAAACAAGAAAATGCATGTAATTTAAATAGTCGATTTGTTGCAAAAATTAGATCTATTGAAAGCTAATTTACAATCCAGTAACCCTTGCCGATTCATTCTATTTTATTTTCGAAATGTATCTCTCGGTTGTAGTTGGTCGCCATTATAATGCAAGCTTTTATTTCTTTTAAAATGTGTAGCCAGAAACTGAAAAAATTAGGAATCATGTTATTTTTATTTATCTATTACACTATGATTCAAAAGGACCCTTTATAAAAAAAAAAAGTATTTACCCTAAAATGTATAAATATAAAAAAATCAATGATTAAAATCGAATCCTATTATCGAAGTATTTTTTCTTTTGTATCTTTTGTAAAATATTTCCTGATAGACTTCAGAAGCCTTGTCCCACTCTCGGCTTTTGCTAAACGGCGGCTTAGTCTTGCTATAGTTGTAATCATGAATTAAAAGAGGAAATTAAGAGAAAAGATTGACTTACAAAATCATAAAATTGATGTATGTACGTTGTAATTGCCAGTTTTGAAATATTCTACAATTACCGTATATTTTTTTCACTACTCTTTTTTTTTTTTTTTTTTTTTTTTTTTTTTTTTTTTTTTTTTTTTTTTTTTTTTTTTNTGAGTTGTTTTCACGTGAGTCATTTTGATCAAAAAATGGGATAGAGGGTAATTGATTTTTCTTATCTTGGGCGAAAGTATCAATTTTTTCCGTGGTGGTTTCTGAGAGCACATTAAATAGGGTATTTTTGTTGGATATTTTATTTTTGAGTTCGAGATGTTTATTTTTGAAATGATTATGGTGGTCATTAATTTTATTCAGGGTCTGAGCCTCCACACGCTTCTTTACAGATAGTCCGATCAGACCACTATGAAGGTGAACAATTAGTGAAAGAACCATTTAATATGAAATCTATTAAAAATTAGAAAGTGGTAGCAAATATATGTCTAAAAATTTGTTTAATTTATGAATATAATTGGTTTGTTTCATTCACTTGTCAACCACTACAGATTCAATTCTCAAATATATATCATAAATTTCTCTTAAGTACTTTTAAAATAGAATTTGGGTTCATGCGCACAAGTGGTTCGGTTTTTAAACAATCTGTGCAGACTACTTATGAGAAACCGTGTGGAGGCTTTCTGATGTAGGAGGTGATGTCTGAGCGACCTTATGACCTAGATTTTTAAAATTAGCGCATTTCTCAATAACTTAAGGATTTCGATTAACATATTTTCGAAAGGTATAGCGATATCATTAATAAGGTTCAAATCTGAATCTTCATTATCGATTAAATTGTCTGTAGGAGTGTCGGATTCTAAATCTGTACGATCTTCATCCGTCGATTGAACTGTATTTTTGAGGCGATTTTTCCGCTTTTTCTTTTTATGTGTTTTGTCGGTGTTAGGATAAGTTAATTCCAAAATATTTTTGGAGGGGGTACATCCTTCTTTAGCAGCGGCGTTAAGATCGGCATTTGTATCCTCAATAATAACTACCTCGTCCATAGGACTCTCGGAGATAAGAGGTGAAATCGTAAATTGCTGGTCCCGAAAAGGACCATTCTGCGATAAATTAGTAGGTGAGGCCATGAATCTCTGGTCCCACCCAGAATCAACCGACGCTAAACTACACTGGTGTTCAAAACTTAAGCAACAAGTGGTTTTTCGGCCACAGCTCCACAACAAAGTATAAGATAGCCATGAAATTGCAGTATAATATGCACGTAATTCAGTAGAAACATTATTTGTATGCAAATTTTAGAAATAAAACGTTGTAGGTGATGTAAGTGTACGTACGCCTTGTGGGTCGGCGCGCAGGTCAAAGCTGTGATAAAAGGATGAAGAGCACCGCAGTTAAAGATATTCGCTGCAAGTGCAAGTGATTTGTTTTGTGAAACACGTCTTCAGGAAATCATTTAGACGACTTTACTCCAGGAAGAATGATTGGGAAGCTTGAGCAGGGGCGTAGTGTGCCCAGTGTCGCCGTAGAGTTCGGGATCAACAAAAGTATTGTTTCTCGTGCTTTGAATGCCTTTAAAACTACTGGTACAGATGTTCGGAAGGTTGGTGGTGGCCGTCCAGAGAAAACAACACCAAGAGATGACCGTTGCATTGTCCTCCAGGCGAAAAGAAACCGTTTTCAGTCAGCGAGCGCTATATCTCAGCAACTGTGCACAGCCAAAGGACGACAAGTATCAAGATTTACAGTGGCCAGACACCTCCACAAAGGTAGCTTATTTGCTAGACCTCCTGAACGCTGCATACCTTTAGACGCAGAGAACGCGAAACCTGGACACCTCATCAATGGAGTCGCGTCCTGGAGTAAGTTCATTCTGAATGAAAAATGTTAACCAGTATAAGGTTAGATTTTTCGTGTAAGCAAACCACCTAGTAGAAAGCAGGCGCTAATTGTTCTAGCATATAAAGTTTTAAAAATGAGTTCATAAAAGTGAAAAAAAATAGTAATTCAAGAAAATTTTAGTCATTAAACAACAGATAACAGGTATTGAAAGTGAAAAAAAGAAAAAAATTAAATGTAACATGAAATTATCTTCCCGCTATTATATATTTTGATTGTATTCATATTTCCTAATTAAATTTTAAAATAACTACCAATATATTTTAAAAAATTTAAAGTATATAAAATTATAAAATCAAGGATTAAATCTTCGGTAAACATTTTCATTCCAGCTCGAGACTTCTCTGAGTAAGGTTGTTTTATAACCGCGCTCAAGCTATCATGTACTCACGCCGTGGAAGGGGAGGTAAGACTATGTCTTCCTCACCGACGTTGCAGCATTCCCCTGTACCTAAACAGATCTTGTATCCTGACTACATTAGCCCGGATAGTAAGCCTGGCGACATCTTCGAAACCAAATATGGGAATTTCCTACTCCAATCAGCAAATGGCATCAGTTGCCTCCCGGACTTCATCGTACCGGAAGGAGCTTCTAGACCCTACTTCTCGGGAAATCAAGTCACAGTTCCAACCACGCCTGAAACACCGAGTACTTCAGTGGAAAGCCCCACTACTACCCCAACTCATGAAAG